AAATATAAAATATGAACATTACTCCAATTTTCGTATTTTGTGTTCGTGTACTTACTATAGATCACGAGTTGAAATAAAGAGTAGAATCTTTTTAAAATTTCAATATGGAAGCCATTATTTATAGAATCTCGTAATAATTGGGCAGATTATGAATTTAAAACAGTAATATATGATGTACTAAAATATTTTGTGATTCTGATATCGGATTACTATTATAATATATGTAAAATATAAATTATTATCTTACTAATATCTTAAAGGCACTAATTAAAAATATCACATGGTTCGTTTAATATAACTTTCCATTAACACTTTAGTTAACTTTTATAAATTTTATGTACTTTTGTTTATCACTATACACAAAATTATGGTTCTTTAGCGTACGTTATAATATTTTTTTTTGTCAATCAAAACTTTATTAAAGACGTTATAATATATTACAATAATTTGATAATAAATACAAGCAAATTAAATACAAAAATTATACACAAATAATTAAATACAAGATAAAAAATGATAAACGTTATTCGTGAAGCAAATTCTGTGTAAACGTCCAATTAATATATGGTTCAATACAGTTTATAAAGGTGATTTAAAATTTTAATTATTTTAGGTGATTTTAAAATCGAATAATTTATTTTAGACAGTAAATATGCTTCAGTCACTGGTCAAAATTTTACATTTAGCTTTGTTTGATAATAAAATTAATAAATAAATGTACATATATTTGTGCATGAAACGATCGCAAAAGCCTATTTTGTAGAATCATACTTAATGCTTTGTTAAATATATTTCGAAACAATATATGACAGTTTGCCTTTTAATAAACAGTCGATGATAGCTATTTAAGAAATAATTTACATCTCTATAATACACTGCCCTTAAATTTCATGTCACGATTCAACTCAGACCTCATTCCTAGTTTTTGAGCAGCGTGACCTTTTGAACGCATGAAACGCTTCCTTAATTGCAGTAATAATCTTCGTATTATACATCCGCATATATATATATATATATATATATATATATATATATATATATCGATCAGGCCCCACTTTAAGCCTCAATTGTACAGCGTACTTTCTCATTGGATGATCCACCGCCACTCTCTTTTGGGGTTTCGTGTTATATAAAATACAATTCAGAGATGGGGCAGATACGTATTTCTTAGATTAAATAAAATAAAAAAATAAGTAATGTTTTAAATTTAACTGATTTAAATTTCTTTATACAAATTATTATTATTTATTGCTATATTAATTTTATTTTTGAATAAAAATAATGGGATAATATAAGATGCAAATTCCGGTTTAATAAGCTATCGTTCGTATTTTTGGTTTATAATTCATTTCTCGAAGGAAGTTGGTTTTCTCGACATTTCAAGTCTTTCGGAATTATTGACACCAAATTAGATTATAGATGTGTATGTGTATATGGTAGCCAAAATTTGACTTTCCGTTAATAAATTTAAATCCATCCAGCCTATTTTATCTATGAAACTGAGGACTAACGTTTATTACTTTTGCGAGACGATACCTTAAAACAAAATGTCACATACATCTAGTAATTTATTATACTCCAGAAACAATTATATGTGGCAAATAATGTTTTAGTTGAGGCTTTGGGGGTAGCACAGCGTTTAGATCGAAAATGATTGAAGTATATGGGGTGACTTTTAGTATTAATTTTTATTTTTCACAAAATATAAGCCTTTTCAATTCACCAAAAGGTAAATTTCACATCCAATTAGGTTTCGACTATTGAAAAGATAAATTGTTTTCATTGTCGACGCGTGTGTTGCTTTATCTTTCAACTCGATACACGTTGGAAATATTTGATACAGGGGTTAGTTACTTCATACGTAACTATTGAAATACTGTTCAATGTTAGAAGTAAAATTTAATTATAAATGGTTTAATATATTTATATTTAATATATCCTTTTTCTATTTAATGTTCTACATGATTTTATTTTTACTTTTTACTTAACTTATACTTTATTCATTTTAAACTTCTCTTATTTACATACTCTTTGTATCCTATTATATTTAATTACAAATATTTTAGCATATTAGGTATTCTCCAAGCAATCTCGAATATTATGTCTTTGGTATTATAATTTATTATTTCCTAGAAGTAGATTTGAGAATCTTTAATTATTACAATCTTGTTTTAAATACATTAGAGCGAGTTTTTAAGGATTTTTGGACCCCCCTCCGTCTTGGTGATACATGGTGATATTCAAAATTACCCCTCCTCCACCAAACATCACGAGTTTTTTAGTTACGTGATAAAACTGTATTTTTTTTATTTTTTTGAAAATGTTTGAATTAACAAAAAGCAGTTAAAAATAAATACACGTTATATCTTACATAACCCCTCCTTCCCACAAGTGATATTTCGTGATTTTTTGTCAAACTCCCCCTCCCCGTAAAATCTCACGTGATTAATGGGCATCCCTTTATTGGTGAGAATTCACACTTCAACAATCAAACTGTTCTGAAATTTTAAGTTATAATTTTTTGAATATTTGATACAAGTGTATTTCGAAGAGTCAAACAACAATGACCTCAAAGTTTTTTCCCCCTGCATACTTTGGTAGTTGGCACGAGTTTTGGTCCGCAGTGGATGGTAATAGAGCCATTGTTAGTTTAGTTCATTTAATAAACACCGCCTTTGCGTGCCCCGCGCGAAATCTGATTACACTTTCAATGGACTGAATCAATCAAATTATTTAGGTACGCGCTGAGAACTTTGTGCACGAGAATACATACATAGTTACTATTGTAATACCTGTTTTTTTTGCTCTTGTATGAAAAATGTGCTAAGAGTAAGGAATATGGTAGGGGTAAGGGCAATAAGGGAAATAAAGACAGACTGATTTGATAAACTTCATTTAAAATGAAAATTATTTATACCATCGAATAGGTTTGTAGCTGTCCCGAATCAAATAAAGGTCAAGTAATGGACCAATTCTGAGAAAAACCTTGATCTTTTTGGCAAAAAGTCGAGTCGTATAACATGGTTTATCTGAAAATGGCATTGGGCCTGCTAGTACTAAATATTTACCAATTCAGATATCATAAGATGTCAAGAATCTCTTATTTGGCTCGAGATTATCTACAGATATTATTTATACCGAGTATTTTCTAATGTTTCTATATCCCGTACCAAACCGTTACCAAGTACCGCACTCCAACCTCTATCTAAGCTTCGTTTTAGGTTGAGATCAAGTCGCCCGTACCGGCTGCGGAACAATTGATTCGAAGTACAATAATTGATGAAATAATGATAAATAAATATAAGTTTAAGCTCGAATATCATTCACGTGAAAATGTTACTACCTTCACTAAAAATTAAAGTTCCCCTTGTGTAAAAGTTGTGTAAGGTAGTGAAAATTTTTAAATAAAAATAATGTTTTAATATGTAAATTACTTTAAAAATGTTACAAACATGTAATAACCATAGATAAACAAGTATAAAATAGTAAAATCTAACATAAATAAATAATAAATATATTTAAATTACAAATTTGTATTATGAACGACTTGATCTCAAGTAGATATTGAAAACTTTAGTTAAATAAAAATTAAAAAATAAATAACAGCTGCATATGAAAGTCTCTGTTTAATATCACGCCAGTATGCGAATTCATATTTGATAGTTTATAAAATTTCAATTGTTTGTAAAATATTCTTTGATTTAGCGTAGGGTAATTATGTATGTAAGAAGTAACCACAACATTTTAAATAAATATGTCTAAAAGTCTATTGTAGCTGATGATACATATTTCCCCATTCTTAAAAGTTATGCTGGGGATGGAAATGAATCAAATATAGATAAAGGTTTCATTGCAGGTCTTACACGCATTGCACTTTATATACTATGTCTGAATCGTGGGATCAAAGAACATTACCAATATTTATTTTGTGTTATTAAATTATTGGTCACGTACACGTGCAATGTAACAGTATTGTTCTGAATCGTACATGAGATGAGGCATTCAAAGCGAATTTATTACCTAATGCAAAAAGTGTGCCGCCAATAGACGGGAGCATTGACGTCGCGATTGCATCTACAAAGGAAGCAAAGGGAGAACAATCAATTTTATTATCACTGAATTTTAGAAGCACTATTAAAAATCATGGTGTGTAATAATTGTTGGAGCAAGTAAGTTGAAATATTTTTTCTAGAACGACGAGGCTATATTTTACATTTTATTTAATAATTATTTATTTATATTGGATTTTTAGATAATCTACCTTTTTGATGGAGAAATTGATACTGAACTAAATCAATGTATCGAACTGATAATTAGATTTTATATAAATCTTCACTTTTGCGCTATTTGTTTATTTAGTATATTTATTCAATTCCCAAGATTTTTTTTTATATTACCATATAATTTACAAGTCTCCTTAGTGCTGGACACCTAGCAAATTTCATAAAAACTATAACAAATAATTGTTAATGAATAAAAATTTACAGTATTATTAGTCTAAGTTGAGTAAGTGTATAAATAAATGCACAAAAATTTAGAAATTGATATGATTACGTTTCTATACTCAGTAGAGTGCTAGTGGATGTGTTATCATCCATTGTTTTTTTGTAAATCACATCAGATTTCTTGATGTAGGAGCCACTTTGATATAATTTATTTGATTCTATGAAATTTGTTTCAATCTACCATGGCAAGGCAACAAATCATATAATGAGCTTCAATAAAATATTTGGTTATTATAAAATAATTAAGTGTTACATTATTTTCTAGCTATGAGATATTTATTTTTAACAATTTCGATTTGGAAGTAGAAAAGATTTAATACGGGGTCATAGCAGTTATATATGAGTGACATAAAAAATAGAGTTTTTCCAGGAATTGTGACTTTTTCTTGTCTTAATATAATAATTTTGGTACCTTATATGGATAAATACGTTAAAAATCATTAAAAATTTATCTTAAATATTAAAGCTGGATTTACCTCGGACGCAATAATTGTTATAGTTCACGACACGGATTAAGCATAATTCTTTCAATAATTTATTTACCTTATCAAAACAATTTTTTTGCAATACTTATGTTTTGAGATGGACAACAAGTAAAACTATAGAGAAATGACTGTCAAAATACCAGCTAATAAGTTTGGATAATCCTCGAGGCGGCTTTTGTAATTTAAAAAGTACTTAGGGGGCGTCCATTAATCACGTGAGGTTTTTAGGGGAAGGGAAGATTTGATAAAAAATCACAAAATATCACGTGGGGGAGGGTGGGGTATAGTAAGTTATCACTTGTATTTATTTTTTACCTGTTTTTTTTTAACAAAATCCAAACCTTTTCAAAAAAAAATTAAAAATTTTACAATTTTTCTTGTAACTAAAAATACACGTGATGTTTGGTGGGAGAGGGGGAGTAATTTTGAATATCACCACGTATCACAAATGGGGAGGGGAGGGCCCAAAAATCCTGAAAAACGTGATTAATGGACATAGTCAAATAAAAAATGGTGTGTGATGAAAACGATGACTGCAAATTAAAAATGATTCAGATCGATTAATTATTCTGCGAGAGTTTTAAGGCTAATTGTGGAAAAAAAAAGTTAATTTCGATTCCAATATTTATAAAAATATTTTCCGGATTTTAAACATAATATTGTATGGAAGTTTCTACGTATAATCCGTGTCTGCCCTTGTTTCCAATGTTGAAATGCAAATAACTAACTAAAATAACTTTTTTTGTTATCCCTTAAATGTGAAATTGTATAGAATTTTTTTGAAAGGAGCTATTTTCTATTTCAAGCTAAATACCCATATTAATACAGTTTATATTAGTTAATTTTCGAAGAATGCTTTTGATAAGTACCTTCGGCATAACAAAGTTATTTCACCCTTTGGCTCTCCTGCTGCGTTCATTGTCATTTTATTAATACGTCAAGTTGAAAGTGCGATACGACGCATACAAAACGCAATATGCAAGGCGGGTGCCCTTTCGCTTCCTAAAAGGACTAAAAAGTTCTATTATTATCTGAGTTTTGATCTTTCAAAATCAAATTACATGTAGGATATTCCTACGGTGGCTTTATTAATGCCAGGCGGCAGATATTCGTCGGATTAGCTGTAGTAGGAACATGTTTATTAAATTTCTGTGGAAGCAGTTCCACTCCGTCAGTCGTACGATATTAGTGCGAGTTTTTCTCAAAGACTTGTAAAAACATGCACAAGAAAAAATCATATATGTTGTTTGAAATTTTATATTTTCAAAATGTAATGAACACAAATTCAAAATTAATAGAATTTTATTAAAAATTTAATTTATAATGTATTTTACCCTGTTTCCAAATAATTTCAAAATAGACCCTAGTAGTTAAAAATATTTTTGAATGCTTGTAATAATGCTTGTTTTAATAAACAATATTTTTCTAAAAAATCTGACATAAAATCACAAAACATATTTTCAGATCTACCTAATAAGTTTTTGCTTTTCTAAGAATTTGAAAATGCATTTATGACCAGGATTTGTTTGAACCAATATTTTTATTACATATGTAACAGATGAAAAAATAAAAAAAATATTTAAATAAATTTACTTAATAATTAAGAATGATTTAAAATTCTATCCTAATCGATTAATACTAGATAATTCCTACACGAGCTTGCATTCAAGCAAGTAACAAAATAACAGAACCATTTAAATTTTAGGTATTTAATTTGAATTAATATTTAGATAAAATTTTCATAACCACAAGAAGTATACACATTCAAATATATCTAACATCCATATTGTCATTTTGGCTTAAATTGCTAAGGTAAATATTATAAATACTCGTACATCTAATTTTGTATATTAAGAAATAAGCAATATTACTATTAAGATTTGTATGCGTTCTGGATTGCTTATTTATATAAATTTTATGAACAAATCTGTTCCAAATATCTCGCAACGGTCACATTTATTTCTATTTAGTAGATCATGGTTGCTCATGTCGCTAGAAGTTTATTATATTGATTGTTTTAATTGTATTAATAACAAGTTTCAGCAGCTTTTTCTTAATATTTCTTATAAGTTGCCTATTTTAAAAACTCAAATGAACTGGTTGACCTCCAAAACTAATAGAAATTTAGCATGGTAAAAATCAATTACCAAATTAGGAAAAGGAAACAGAATTGCTGTGTTGTTTTTTGGTTTTCTAAATACCTCATTCAATGAATATTTTTATTTGATCACATTTTTGTTCTGGAATTCACAGAAACATCTGTATAATATAAAATTAACATAAAGCTTTGCAATAGCTCGTTTTTGCATTCTTAGAATATACATATAATATATTAATCTATGTGAATTGGTTTGTTTTACTCGTACATTTACTTTCACATATTACGAATTTTTATTTATTATTTTTCATTTTAGAGATCAAAGTCTTTCATATTACTTCCAAGCCCAGCTTGAATATTAATGTGTGCAAACCTGATTGCGAGAACTTGTAAACAAACCAATACTGCGTTTGTCTTATTTTGTCAAATTTTTGCTATGAATATATTAGAATATATTAGATATATAGGAGTCTTCTTATTATTAACTCATAACTTTCATCAAACACCTATTATTTTTGCGAATGCATGTAATCTGTATGATGATCTCGGACAACTGTCGACATATCAACATGTCGATGATGGTTGGTAGAAGGGTCACCAATTATGTCAACATCGCTGTCGTCTTCGGAGTTGTCGGAGATGTCGGAGTTGCAACGGTTTGTTGTTGGTGAACCGTCTGCAAGTTGCCGAAGTTGGGAGGCGGATTCCACGGACAACTGGCGGCCGCTGAAGTCTACAGGCTCGGAACCTGAAAATAAAAATTACTGTAAAGAAATAATTCTTTTCATTTGTTATAAAATTTCTGAACATTGATTCATATGGATAGCAGAAGATGGGCTTCACCATGATTTAGTAAGTAGAACTATAAGATTTTTAACATAGGGTCCAAGCTTGTGTATCACTTTGAATAGCTGGATGTCAAGCAGTAGCGAAATCGATTTTCACTTTGAAATATAGATACTCATATGCCACATGCTTTCAAGCAAAAATAATTCTTGGCCACATTTCTGCAATATCCCAATTAAAAGACAACCGTGGAGTTAGAACGCTTCTTATGGCGTTCAGTATTACAACTAAATTATATGCCAGATAGTAAGGATAATTAATGAATTGCCTAGTAATAACGTCGTTCATAGTAATAAGCAGAAATTCTGACTACATTAAAATAACAAACTAGTGGTGTATAGCATCGTGCCTTAAGGCAAATTGCTGGAACCGTACCGTAACGAAATGTTCGAGGAATATTGAATGTTTTCAAATAGATTATTATAAATATTGTAACATTGTCTATTATTTATAAGAATTATATAAACTGAAAAAAAATGAAAAAAAAAATTGAAACAAACAAATTTTTTTGCCAAAAGCAATTATTTTGTTGAAACAAGCAGAAAGCTCTTTGAATCATTCAAATCGGACGCTTAGTTCTCTCAAAAACTGCAATTTTTGCACATTTAGCTCTGTATCTTTGAAATGGCTGGACCTGCCTTCGCCAAAAACTAATCACCTCTTCTCCTAATCGTTACAAATTGAATATTTTTTAGATCATTCAAATCAGATATTCCGTTCTCTCAAAAACTCTATTTGTATTTTCTGCATTCTTTGCTTTGTATCTCCGTAACGGTTGGACCTGCCTTTGCCAAAAACTAATCAGCACATCTTCCTATCAACAGGAATCGAATGCTTTTTGAACTATTCAAATCGGTTAATCCGTGCGCTCGAAAACGTGGATGAAAAAATGCGGACATACAAAACACACACACACACTCACATCCATTTTTTTGAGGTATGCCAAAATGTTCAAAAACCTTCAAAACGTCGAAAAATGCAAAAATTTTAGTTTTCGATTTTCGGCCCATTACTATAACTACCCTACGGGAAGTTAAAAAATGCAGCAAAGCTTATCAAAACAGTATGATGATATTGTTCGTACTTTTATTGGGAAATTAAGGTATCTTTTTTATTGTTCTTTAATTTAAATTGGTCTCAAAAGCCAAAAATAATAAAATCAATTTCACTCTAATCTTTCATTTAACTCCTTTCATTTAACTCCTTGGTATTAATGCCCATTAAGAAATACTTATCAAAAGTATTTAATCAAATAAAAATAAATTATGATAAAATGACAAAGAATCAAAGAATCTAACATTGTCAATTATATATTCTTTAGCCTTGATGTTTTTATATGAATTGTAGAATTGATTGTGACTAGACTGTGAATTATTGGTAATGAAATATTTTTTTTCTTCTATTCAACATGGCGATTGTTGATTTGATTTTTATAATATTATTCCAAGTTCTATTTGTGCAGGTTTAAAGATTGCGATAGTGCATATTGTAAATGTAACGTCTTGTAAGACTAAACCAATTAAGTTTCCAAGAGAGGATGAAATTAACTTGTTAATAGAACTAATGGAGTATTCTCTTAAGTTTAAACAAGAAGCGACGAAGGGAAAATGTGGTTCAATTTTCTTAGAACATGTTACTTCCTAAGTTTCCTTGACGAAATCATGCAATTAAATTAAAGTTGAACCGAAGACCACGAACTTAAGCGGTTTGATTACTTTGAAGGAGCTACAAGATGCGACGGAAAATTATATTTTGGTGGAGAAGATTATAATTTCCCGTATTTATGGTAATATACATTGATGATGAGACAAATCACGATCTGGAAACGTTATAACTTTCAGGAATAAGTTATGAACTCTAGCGTTGTGAAATCCTATTTACACACTTACTATTAATATTCGTTTCACTCATAACAAAAACGTACTTAGATTAGTCATTTATTTTTGTGTCTTTAGTGCATTTGTGCAAAAGCTGTGATTTTTTTTTTTATAATTTAACTGTTATTGATTATCGTTGATTGGTTAAATATTCTGTTGATTGTAGGTAAGAGATTGGTACCAGAAATGTGTTTATAATAATATAATTTAGAAACAACACACATATGTAAAATTTAATAAATACCTTTCAATTTATTCATAGAAGTATAGACTAAAGTCCGAAAAAGGCAAAAAGTATAATTGTATATTTACTTAAATCTCATAAAATTCAAGAGCCCCCAAACAATTTTTTATGCCAAACCCTAAGCCACAGTACGCTTCTGTTGAGTATTATCTTATTTTTGTATTTCTTTTATTAATTTACAATTAGAACATTAACTATATTCTGTAAGCTATTTTGTTTCAGATTATTTAAATATAGTTATAGATAGTAGTTAGTCCGAAACGTAATTACTATTAAATATGCCATATTTTTTTAAGTTTTCCTAATTGTGGCGAAGGAGCAGCGAAGCAACGAGTAAATTGAGAAGATTTTCTAATTTGTGATGATAATTAGGATAATTTCATAAAATAAGTTTTATGTTCAATCTTTGAAAGTCATATAGAATATGTACTTCTAAATTTTGTATTATTACTATATTTACTAATTTATTATATATACTATTTAGATAATATAAGGTATTATTGTGGCTTAAGGTTGATAAAATTGTTTTTAATTACTGGATGGATGCCCAAGAACAATTTTATCATATTATTTCACCATCTGAAGTAAAACCTCTCGTTTTATGTATATATATATATATATATATATATATATATATATTTAGATAATTTTCTGAGTGTTATATCTTCCGTAATCGCATTCGAAGATTGTGTGCTAATAATGAATTAAATAGTAAATGATTTTAAATATTTAACTTCCCATATGTTATAGTAATCGCAAAAAACTCGAAAATGAAATTTTTTATATATCTTTACGTTTCGAACATTTTGGCATACCTTGGAAAAAATAGAAGTATGTGTTTGTGGGCGTGTGTGTGAATGTATGTATATGCGGATACAATTTTTTGTCGACGATTTCGAGAACTCGGATCAACCATATTCAATGATTCAAAAAACATTGCTGATTAGATTTTGGCAAAGGCAGGGTCAGCCGTACTGCCAAAAACGGTAATTCAAGCAAACAAATATTTATAAAACGTGTTATTTGTATTGACGAAATGAAGAACTGAGGAAGTTTTTGGGAAAACAAGTCTAGCGGTTTCGGAGATCCCATAAAAAAGTGAAAAAAATGCCATTTGGCGGATAAAAATGATTATTAGACATATGCACACCAAATTATCACATATTTTATAGATATTTTAATAATAAAAACAAACTTTGTTAACATTTCTATAGGACCCGTACCAATGTTTATCTGATATACTATAACGCGGCGCCCACGCGCTTCGATATTTCGTTTCTACGCAGCTAACGCATCGCGTTTGCTCTGAAAAGAAGTTCCCAAAATATTTCAAAATATAAAAAAACGAAATTTCTCAAAAAGGTCAATTTTTTTAAAAAAAATTAAAAAATCCCAAAAATCGATTTTTTTCAGAGTTCTAAAAAATTGAATCTGTTCTAAAAAAATTATTTTTTAGTACGGGAAGTTCCAGCAATTTGCATTAAGGCACGATCCCATGAACCACTAGTTTATTTTTTTGCATTGATTTATATTATTATTGAACTGTTGTGTTGATTTTACTTAATAATAATTAGTTCTACAGTCGTAAACCCTAGTAGTTGTTCCAATCTCTTTATGTTGAAGTATATTATTACAAAGATACCCAAGTATACGAAGATGTCCATTTTTTTTTTATTATTTTAATAATTTTTACAACTGTCCTGAAACGAACAACAAGTAAAATATTTGACATGAAACTGAAGGCGTTGGCAAAATACAAATCATCTGACCATTGCCAGTGATTTGTCGAAGGTCTTATCTATTGAAGATGTCCAATTGATTTGCACAATCGAAAAAGGCGCTCAGGTGATGAACTGTCAAAAGTCGGGTGTTTAATTCACCTGTAACAGCGACATATCCTGTTGGAAGAACTAAATTGCATGCATTTTTGACGTCACATCTATCATTTTAACAATTCATCTATCTTTGTTTACATTGCCGAATCCAGCCGAATCAGTCTTTGTCGTGTACGTGTACCTTTAGTTCTTTCTCCCGTAACCTTCGAGCTGTGCGGATGTCTGCAGCAAGTGACATGTCGACCACGTGATAAATAATATTATATACGTCCTAAGTAATAATTTTAGTATTTTAAGTGTTTTTATCATTTTATGGTATGAGTTTTAATCCGCAGTGTCCTGGAATTCGCGGAGAGTCATCATTGATAACTTGTTGGTTAGTATTAAAATATGAAATTGATCTATAAATTGTCACGTTATAGATATGAACGAACAATCTCTTGATCATGTGTACTCACTAAATGGCGGAATTCTGGTCTAAAGGCATGAACTTTATGCGAATTTTGAGAGGGCGCAAAAAGGCATTATTTTTAGTATATTTTTATAATTATTAATTGTTTTGAGTATACAAAAAAAATAACTAGTGGGGTGTATGGCATCGTGTCTTAAGGCAAATTGCTGGAACTTCCCCTACCGTAACGAAATGTTCGAGGAATACTGAATGTTTTCAAATAGATTATTATAAATATTGTAACATTGTCTAATATTTATAAGAATTATATAAACTGAATTGGAAAGTTGAAATTATTTGTTTAAAGTATATTAGAACTTTAGTCAGAATTAAAAATAAAATCTGAATTATTTTCAGTATACAAAAAAAAACTTTTTGAAAAAAAAAATTGACAAAAAAATTTTTTGAAACTAATTTTTTTTTTTAAAATCAATTATTTTGTTAAAACAAGCAGAAAGTTTTTAATCATTTAAATCGGACGCTTAGTTCTCTCAAAAACTGCCATTTTTGCACATTTAGCTCTGCATCTTCGAAATGGCCGGGCCTGCCTTTGCCAAAAACTAATAACCACTTTTCCCAATCATTAATAATTGAATGTTTTTTAGATCATTCAAATCGGATGCTCCGTTCTCTCAAAAACTCGATTTCTATTTTCTGCACTCTTTGCTCTTAATCTCCGTAACTGCTAGACCTGTCTTTGCTAAAAACTAATCAGCACATCTCCCTATCAATAGGAATTGAATGTTTTTTGAACCATTCAAATCGGATATACAAAACACTCACACACACAGATACATTTTTTCTAAGGTATGCCAAAATATTCAGTAACTTTCAAAACATGCAAAAATTTTCAATTTCGATTTTTGGACGATTACAATAACATACCCTATGGGAAGTTAAAAATAGCTATAGTTTCAATTCTAAATGAAATGGGGAAACTCAAAAAATTGACACTTGTCGGTGCGCATGATTTTAACCCTCCAAATAATCTGAAGAAATATATATATATATTATTAACCTAAAAGAATATCGCCTTCGAATAAACTAAATGCAAGTTACAATCTTTTTTTTCACAAAATATGGACTGTCTGGAAAAGAACTTTTTATGGTATTGTCGATTTTTAAAAAAAGTATTAAAATTGGGATTTGGGGATGGGCGTAGTTTACAGTATAAACTTTATACTGAAGAAAAGACTATAAAGAAGATAGAAGACCCTGTGAAAATTTCATGTAAATAAGTCCAGTAGAAGTAAAAAATCTTAAGTATCATATCGAAAAAGACAGTTTATAAAAAAACGCATCACTCATCAAAACGCAAAAACTCATCTTGCAAAAAAAAAAACGCAAAAACTCATCTTGCTCACGTTTTTTGAAACTTTTAGACTAGAATACATTCTAGACCTTAAGTAACAAACACTACTAAGTATTTGTTAATTCTAATTCATTTGTGTTTATTGCTATTTTGATTCAATATTATCCCATTCAGTTATACATATATATATATAAATATATATATATATATATATATATATATATATATAAATATATATATATGAGAATAAAGAATGTATAGTATATGAGTAACTGTTTTTTGAAATTACACTAAAGATGAGGCACACCATGGTCTCGAAACGTTCGTAATTATTAAATAAATTTGTGTTAAAAATCTGAGTGTTGCTTTGTTCATATTTAATATTTAATATATATATATATATATATATATATATATATTTGTTTGTATGAATGTATACAATTATAATATGAACCAAATTGTTCGTTTCGACAAACTAACTCATGGCATATTTAGTGTTTTTTTAAATTGAAGCAAAACTGATTAATTAGTATCATATTCGAATGAACAAGAAAACAAGGTATCTAATATAACATCTTGTTTATTAATTACAAGAATTAGTTGAAACTGCGCCTTTGTTAATATTACACAAATTAATTTGTTTTCCTCCCGTTTAAATTACTTTGAAAGATCATGTGCTAAAATGTTTGGAATTAATAGATAGTATCTTCAATTTTCATTTCAACATCTTAATTATTATAAAAAATGTTTTATGTACATATAACGTAACATAATTATAATTTATTATACATAGAATTCATAATATATTTGTTTTTTTTTTATTTCAGGCTACAGTTTACATTCGGACGCGCCGGGTTGGTTTTAAAAGAATGTGTTTCGATTTGGTGTTTTAATTTTAAAATGTCTTAGTAGTTATTTTAAAATAAGTATTGTGTTTGTTGTTCAGTTTTAGTGAAGTGATTAACAATTATTAACTGGTGATAGTTAAAAAAAAAAAACTGTTCAGATCCTGGTTATCTGCCTTCTGCAAACTGCTAGGTAAATGATTTTGGTGTTTTAATTTTAAAATGTCTTAGTAGTTATTTTAAAATAAGTATTGTGTTTGTTGTTCAGTTTTAGTGAAGTGATTAACAATTATTAACTGGTGATAGTTAAAAAAAAAAAAACTGTTCAGATCCTGGTTATCTGCCTTCTGCAAACTGCTAGGTAAATGATATTTTTTATTTTCAACTATTTAATTCATAAAATATATTACGTCAATTTTAATATATTTAATGATTTTTTTTATTTCAGTCAACAAACTGATAGCAGCAGCAGGTTAGTTTATTTCTAATTCTAAGCATGTTGTTAAGAATTTAATCCTATAACAAGTATAGTACATTTATTATACTTATACGTATTTAAATCAAATTTAATTTAAATATTAACAAGCATATTATAGTTTTTTGTATAATATGCTATGTTTGAGTAGTTTTCTCTCATAACAATTAGGAAACAAAACGAGTATAAAACGAAAAATCGTAAGTTCAATTTTTCAATGCATTTACATTCACAAATTTTACGCTGATATAACTTGAATAAATTAATATATGCATTTATATTTTTCTGAAGTATTAAATTTGAATTTAATTTCTGCTAAAAGCAGTGATACATAACTTACAGGATTATGAAAATTAAGTGAGATTCGCTAATTCTTATGATACGTTTTTAGAATGTTTTCTAGTTTTTTTTTGTAAAAAATAATTTTATAGTTTTGCATTGTATGGATTTTTTCTAAAGGCTTTAATGTGCAGCCCTGGTTTTCTAGTGCAACTACTGCAAAAATAATTTGTTTGACGACTCCTGCCATTAATTTTTTCATTAGATTATTAGGTGCTGGTTTCATGACTTTTTCGTCCCCTGCATTTCGTTGTTATCTGAGATCGATATATATTTTTTGGATAACTACTTTTATGATCTATATCTTTATCTTTTATGATCTTATATTTGGTATTATGATATTTATGTTTTTTTGTTACTATGACATGCGTCCAAAAAGGGATCGTTCAAGTATTACGTAAGCAGATTTAGTACAATTATTTACTCCACCCCCATCCCCCATTGTCAGCAAAAGTAAGTAAAACTGTCACCAAAATGTCACAAAATAAGCAAATCAATAAACCCCCCGCTCCCCTATAGTGCTTACGTAATACTTGAACGGCCCCAAAGTGTTAATATGTAATTTGTTTTGAAAATTACCTGTGCTGGTTCCATGATTAGAGGCATTGGTAGTTGTTTCATTACCGACTGTGGCTCTTCTCCGGAGTTGTTTTTTATGTTTCATTCTTCTATTTTGAAACCACGTCTTCACTTGAGTTTCTGATAGACCTAAAGCCCCAGCTAATTCAACTCTTTCCGGAGTTGAGAGATATCGTTGGGCTTCGAAACGTTTCTCTAATCCTACAAATCAAAATAAGTAAATAGGTTATCAAAATTATTTTTCTTCAATTTATAAATTGTAACTACCTGTTAGTTGGGGATCTGAGAAAACTGTTCTCGCTTTTCTTCGCCTACAATGTCTCAGTGCTCCCATTCCTAATGCCAATTCATGCGCAGTTCCACCAAAAAGTGGACCTCCTGGAAAACTCAGTCCTGCTGATAACAAAAATATCGAAAATAGTTATTTGTGAATAGCAACAAAAAGTTTGGATGTGGAAATGTAAATAATAAAATATCCCGATCAAAACCATTCGGTTCACATATTTTTTTTTAAACCGAACTTTCTATAATTTAATTTTTGTTTGAAGTTATGAATATTGGTAAAAATCCTTGAAGACATCAAGAACATCATTTTTTGAGAAATATTGAGAGCTGAATTAATAGAACATTATTATAAAAAAATCTGAAAAATTTAAATTAAGGTTTTGCATTTAACAGTACATTTTGATCATTTAAGAGTACATTTTGATTATTAATACTAATATAGAACTGAAAAATAATTGTTCTTACATTTCATTATATTGTTATTACATTGATTTAAAACTAGGTTGCTTAGTCAAGTATTTATGATTTGTTGTATTTGCACAGTACAGTGCATTTGAATTGAAAAGAGGCCAAATTCTTCAACCAGATTTCATCGACTATTTCTTTATCAATGTAATTTTTAATTACAAAATTTTCAGATTTCATTTGTTTAGCTTTTTTACATTTTTTACGTTTTAAATACTATTTGGGCTATTACCTTGTGTTATAAAATAAGGGTCGACGCTTTTGTAAGGTGAGACTCCTGCAGGATGGCCATTTGTAGAATTATTTAAATAGGCTCCTAGAGCCATTTGAAAATAAGATCCTTCGGCATAATGTGGTCCTTGATAAGGTCCCGTACTTGCGTAATATAGGGCTGAATCGTTATTTGTTGTGTACACCTAGAATTTAATTTGAAAAGTGCTAATTTAGATAATAAAATAGAGACAAATTGGAGTTTTAAGAAAAAGATACTTGCAAGAATCTTTACATTCGTATGAAATATCTACGCAGTGTACATTAGTTAGAATTAATGTTCTTGTAAAATCTTACTTGGCTCATCGATATCACTACCGCGAAAGAAATCATACTTGATTCTTATTGGGCAATGAAAAATCTTATTTCTTTTTAGTACTTCACTCTAAAATATTAAATTATTTGTTTCATAAACTAGGTTTTTGACAAAATCTTAATTTATTATATAATTAATAAATTAATTATTTGATATCTATACATCATGCTAATGTCTGTACAACGAATAGTTCAGAATCAAATTAAAACAAAAATAATGGAAACTGTTCATTCCCAATATGTTTCTGTTTTCATTTGATCTTTTTAGTTTTTACAAATCTTTTTATTTAGGAAACGATTAACTATTATTGCTTATGGCCCTACTATTTGTATTTGTATGTGATTGTATGTAGTTTTTTAAAAATTACTAGGTAGATTAGGGAATGGAACCAATATGAACCATTTGCAAAAAAATCTATATTAAAACTGTAAATTCTGATTTACAGGGTTCATTAGACTTTATACAAAAACCGACATTCTAGGAACTGTCTTTTGAACGGATTTTTTCGGGTACCGGTTTTGTTCGGTTTCGGCCGGTTTCCAGTTTTCATAAAAAAACCTATTTGCTCGAATAGTTCAATAGAAAAATTCGAGTGTTCATAAGTTTTTGGCTTGAATTATTTACTGTTAGATTTTATTGATAATAAATGAAAATTCATATTTTGGCTGCATTTGTCATTTTAAATTTTTCAAAAGTTATTCATACATTGAAAACCGGCATTTTCTACTAAAAGCATGTTTTAGAATCTCAAGATTTTCTCCTGAAAACTGGTTTTTGAAAACCGTAAAACCATGTGTATATTTTAATAAATATGATTTCAACGTGGTAAACTTTGAGCTCGGACAAAAGGTTGATAATGGATAAGTAGAATATTAAAATTTTTTGCGGGTATATAAAAAATTGAAGAATACATTAAATTCAATGATTTTTATCTTCCCGAATGAGAAGTTTGTTTTCATCAAAAAATGCGGTTTACTAATTTTTTGTTTTCTTAATAGAATGATTTTTATCTTCTGAGTGGAATGAGACCCAATTTGGAAAAAGTGTGTGCGTGTGCGTGTGCGTGTGCGTGTATCTCGATGAGGACTGGCGTTTATCAATTTTGCGCGACGATCAGCCCAGCCGTTTCTTTGTAAATGGCAGAAAAGTGAAAAAAATTTTGCCCTCGTTTTTAGCCCGAAATTCTGAATCTATTTTGAAAATTCAAAAACCGTTCGAAAAATATTGGTTGGGAAAATCGACCTTATTTTAGACCTTAATTAGTTTTTAGTAAAGATCAGCCGGACCGTTTTTTGACGGTAGATACCATAGTCTTGTAGATCATACTAAAACATTACGACCCTACAATTCGTTTAATTGTAAAAATTCGTCAAAGTTTGCGAAAATTAGTATCGTTTATTTGGCGTTTGTCAAAATTTGACCTTTCATCGACGTTTTCTTAAAAACGCCTGAACCGATTTTAAAAATTTAAAAGCCAATCGATGTATTTCGATGTGGATTATATTTTCTCTGTTTTGAACGGCGATCGGCTGAGCCGTTTCTTTGTAAATAGCAGAAAGTGAAAATTTTTTTGTCCACGTTTTAGCTCTCAATTCTGAATCGATTTTAAAAAATCAAAAACTGTTCAAACCGAATTCAACTGTTTATAAACGAAATTAACTCTTGCAGAAAAAAAAATTGCTGATTTTCATGAAACTTCACTTAAGAATACATATCATAGTCTTATAGAACATACTAAAACGCTACGGCCCTACGACAAATAGTTTAATGTTAAAAAATCATCGAAGTTTGAGAAAAGTTTTGAGTTTAAATAAACTGATTTTACTTATCGTAAAAAAATTGTAATACCTAACCTACCTGTGGTGGAGGTCCAGTATTATGTTTAATATTCGCGAAGACTTGTTGACTTATACCACGTCCTCCATTTGAACCATTATTAGAATTGATGCCGGCGGCGTCCAATCTTTTTGTCACTACATTTATCACGTTTCTTTGATTGCCACCAATTTGGCGTTGGCCTACCGCCGTTTGCGTAATATTTTCCTCATGAGACGCCTTTTTGTCTGTGGCATTTTGTTCGGCGTTGGAAGATCGGAATAATATGTCTTCTATTAGGAATGGCGTTTTTGCTATACCATTCGTCAATTGCATAGACATGGTGGAAGATTCTGACTTTTATTTTTTTTTTTTTTTTTTTTTTTAATTGGCCTCGCTTACTCGAGCATTTAGCCACCTACATTATTCTATACAATCATATACAATCTTCAATTTTATACTATCTTCTTCTTCATATAATCCTATTCTTCTTCTATACTTCTTAACTAACTTATCTTCATTCTTCTTTTACTATCATCTCACTTCATCTTCTAACCACTATTTCTTCTTTCTTCTATACTTCTCATTACTTCTTACTTCAATTCATTTTTAAATTCTACTTATCTAATTTTTATACATTTTGATTTTACATACATATTTTATTAGTACAATTCATAATTCTATTATTATTCCAACTAGTTAATATTATTTTTCAAATTCTGGCCGGAGATTCGAACTCGGAACCTCCAGCATGTGAATCGGGAACGCTACTCTTGAGCTAATCCCGCCACATTCTGACTTTTAAGTAAAAGGTAATAGAAACAGAATGCAGGTTGTGTTATTATTTTAAATATCAGTGCTGATTAATAATGGCCATTTTTTTAAATCGTTAATTGTTCATTTTTTTAAACACATATTCCACTTGGTTTACACTTATCATAGTTAATAATAGGCTCAGTTAAATAGAAAAATTTATTAACAGTTCTTGTTTTATAAATTTTACACTAGATTATATCTAAACAGGCAAACTTAATGTTATATCATTAATAGTTCACAATTATCAGTTCACATTGTTTTGAAAGTAATTTTGATGTGATTCATTGTTTCTGATGTGATCAAATAAAAATAATCACATTGTCTAATGTTTATAAATTTTTTTACTCATCACAATAAATACCACTGCAATCACTAATTATTATTACCACCAAAACAGAATTTAAAGTTTAGAATACTTTATTACAAAAATTGTTGGTTCACATCATTAAACATTTAATCGTCTATAATAACAGATTTATAGTAACTGATTTCGCCGATCACAATTGACATTTCGTGCTCGTTTAAGCGCGGCACCCACTACATGAAAATCCTTGCTAAATCTCAATAAGGGTTGCTCTTTCGCGATTGGTTGCATGGTAAGGGATGATTTTATCTCCGATTGGCTGTTGACTTTAGGGAGGAGCTTATGAATTTTCCTACCCCGAGAAATTGTGATGTACATAATTGTGAAGTAAATGTGTGTGTGTGATTTTGCAAGGGATGTTATCAGTTAATTTTGTCAGTATAACATTTATATTATGTGCTTTATGGAATTAGGTACTCATTAGGTTATGAAGATTAAATGTTAAAAAATGATAATGAAATACTGTATATTGTGAGACAATAAATTCAAAATATGTTTTAACAATATTAAAATATGTTATGGGAAAGCAGTTCAAATACGATATACATGGATTTACAATAAACGGTGGTCGGTGGTCGCTTTTAACCAGGATATTTTTCTACGGCCCGCCGAGTATTTTTCAACTACAGATTATTTTTCTAGATATTTTATCAAATTCGGCTATAAAAGCTAATTTTGTCAGATTTTTAGGTTTATGAAAAAGCTTCAATTTTATTCAAAAAAATGTTTCAGTTTTTGAGAGAAAACTGGAAATTTTTGAAATCTCACTCGATTCGCTAAGCATCTACGAACTCTAATTATCAATGTAATTTCTATTAGCTGCCCCTTTTATTTTTATACCACATATTTATACATTCAGAATTAGTTACTTATCTTTTATACTAATAATTTTCTAGAAATATTCCTTGTGGCTGAATGTTTGCCGGGTCAGTTAGTATATATATATATATATATATATATATATACATATATATATATATATATATATATATAAATTACGTGCGGCCCGCCATAAAATTTTAAAATTTAAATTAGCCCGTAGGTTGCTCGCCCTTGCACTAGATATATATGAATTTATATTTTCTGCGTTGTACATGTTTCTGAAAAAGATTTTCAAAACTCTATTGCTTACTGTTTCAAGATTTTTATCAATCGGTAAATAAGTTATCTCAATCAAAACTACCCGATTATCACTATTATTTTGAACTTTTTTAGTTCACTCTTTTTATATTTACTATTATTAAAATAATTTTAAAAGTACTACTATCATCTGTTAAATCATCAAGAGCATTGTTATTTTAAAAAAAACTGGTATCAAATTAATGACATATTCTATAATATAAAAATTAATCGCATAATGTGTTGGTAAGCGCATAACACAACAACGCCTGGACCAATTTGGCCAATTCTTTTCCAAACTCGAATAATTGCCTGGAAAACCCTAAAAGCAGCCCTTTTCTTTTTCACATACAAACATTTTCTAACTGAAACGTTTAATCAATTTGAGCTTTAATTTTTTTATAATGCGTAAATAAATAAGGTGAATGAGAGAATTTATAAAGGTAAACTGGTGGGCAGGTAAATTGGAGGATATGTAAAATGATAGAGAGGAGAACTGGTAGATAGACGAATATGCAGACAAATAAACAGGTTGACAGGTTAAATGGTAAGCACGGAATGACAGGTAAATTTGTAGGCCGGTAAAAAGGTAGATTGATGAACAGGTTGATAGGTAAATTATTAGACTATTTGTTAAACAGGTAAAATGTTCAACAGGTAAATTATTGAACAGGTTAATTGGTAGATTTAGAACGGGATGACAGGTAAATTGGAAAGCAGGTAAATTGATTGACAAGTAAAATGGTATATTGATCAACAAGTTGTTAGGTAAATTCGTAGGCAGATAGTAGTAACGTTAAACTAAATCTAACAAATACACATATTTGTTCAACTTTTTAGTTTAAACTAAATCACGACAAAGCGTGAACGGATACAGCTAGTATTCAAAATTTAAGCACTTTAAGTATTTTATAATGCGAATGAGAGATTGTTATTTGTCCTCGAAAATTGAGTAAAATAATGAATAAATGCGCTATATTTTACAATATTATTGTGGTGAAGGAAAGTATGCTGTGTAGACTTGGGAAAAAAATTACTGTATACGGTAATAGTACTTCATGGAAATCTGCGGAAAAGGTTTGTTAGCTTCGTTTTAGTAATTTTGATGAGAATGATACTCCACGCTTTGCTAGTCCAATCATTAAAAAAGTTGATGCTTTTTGGAAAAGTCCGGCAAGTTAAATATATCAGCACTGTCGACAACGGTATGGACCTAACTATTGACTAGAAAACTGTTTTAAACCATTTACAATTTCCCGAGTTGAGCGCAAAAAACCTAATAGACCGAAGTAACATCTGCGATATGCTGATGAAATACAATGAAATCTGAAGCATTTCATAACTGAAGATCACATATAATCGCAAGAGAAAAAATCATGATTAAGTGATGATGAGCGACCAAAGTTTTCACAAACCCGGAATTGACATCGAAAAAGGAGATGCTGTGTTTGTGGTGAGACGCAAAAGGAAATGTCAATCGTGAGTTACTTCCTAGTTGGTCAGACAATAGATTCAAGATTCAGACATTTAAGAAAAAACGGCTAGAATTGAAGGTATTGTCTTTTATTATGACAATGCGCAATCATATACTTTTTGGATAATCTGCCAAAAGTAGCAAAAACATTGTTGAAAAATTTTGATGCATCCACCCAATAATCCAGACTTTCTGACTGACACTTATTCCGATCTCTGCAGAACTTTCTTGATGTAGTTGATTAAGTGTGTCCCAACTGATTTTAAAAGTAGCCTGTAAAAACACTTGGTGCAGTTTTTCAATTAGTTCAATTAGTTCGATGGCATCATGACTCTACCCGGAAAAAGGCGGGACATTGTCGTTTATAAAGGTGCAAATGTTGTATAAAAATATCTTTGGAATAACTAAAAAAAATCTACTTCGATCTCAATTATTTCAGCTAACCCAATTTATTATGATGGATGCTACATTTTTATGTGCTTCTATACAACATCCAGAAATTTATGAATAAATATGAGTGATAACAATTATTTTTTAAACAATTATTTCTCCTAATAAATCTTCGAATTCGGCCCTTTTCTCTTAAAGAAAAACAGCTCACGCCCATGGCATGGCAGACATCTATAGGCGTATGGCGATTTCATATATTTTTTTTCTGTAAAAATATTTTCTTTTCGTTTTTATTACATCCTCCACTTTGCGCTTGAATGAGTGGAATATGGCTTTGATTTTTATATGAGGAGCTCAAACGTTTCATATCATTCAGAACGATTGAATAAGCATTTTGATAAACGTAATAATAAATATTTTTCCGTACTATTTTCTCGTGAAAATTAATAAATATTCCTTAATATGCAATTTTTATTAGTCTAGTTGTGCTGGGTATATAGCCAAATTACTTATGAATTCAAAATATTCTATAATATACCCATAGACAAACCAGTCAATTTAATTTAAACTATGTATGTAATAAAAATTATGTATGTAAATTATGCTTATGCTTACACTCTTAATGGAAGCTTGGCAGGTCGTGATAGAAGAACAAAATGGAAAAAAAGTGTTTTTTTTTAGATAAAAATATGGTCGGTATTGTTTTTTTAATTAAATAAATGTCAATCTAAATAATAAAATAATATTTCAAATGTAAATATTATCGTAATTAATATAATTGTTATACATAATGATAGATAATCCTAGACTAATTGGAAGAAAAATATTAACTCAAACCTTATGTAAAGTTTAGTTTTAGGAAGATATCGAAGATATGTAAGATAAAGTTATAGATAGAAGACTAATTTATATTATATTAGTGGTATTGCAATAGACCTTATTTAATTAATTATATTAATTTGTATTTTAGAGAAAATCTGGTTTAAGATGCAAATAAATAATGGCACTCATTACATCCGTTTTCAAAACTCATTACAGCTGTTTTTAAAGTGTTTTAATTTTGCTCCTAAATTACCTATATCATTATTTTAATACCAATAAAGGTCAACTATTATTTCAAATTTTAGACAAATTATTAATATTTCAATATTATTATTCAACATAATTTTAGTTGAATAT